ATTTTTTTCCCCTTGGGATGAGAATACTGCATCATTACATCCCCAGGACTCATCTATTTTATAACTGAAAGTTTGTACCTTTTTGACTACCTTCACCCATTTCACTCACCCTCCATCCCCTTAGGGGATTTCCCCTATCCCCCTTAGGGGGAAACTCTAATGGTTTCTAAGGCAAGTTAACTCACAGATCTTTCTGGCCTTCTTTATAAGTATTCCTGATAAGGGAGAAGAAACAAGGATATTTTGGCTCCTCTTAAGAGGTTTTGAATTCTATAAAGCAGAAATGGGGGTGCATATATCTTTTCTAATTAATGTTTTTGTTTTCTTCAGCAAAATACCGAGGGGTGAAATTGCTGGATCATATGGTAGTTTTGTTTTTTATTTTCTGAGGAAACTTCATACTGTTTTCCATAGTGGCTGCACCAATTTACATTCCCACCAAAAGCGCCACCAGGGAAGCCCCAACCTCTCCATATCTTTGTCAACATTTGTTATTATCTGTATTCTATTAGCCATCCTAATAGTTGGAAAGTGGTATCTCATTGTGGTTTTTTTTTTTATTTTTTATTTGCTGTATGCGGGCCTCTCACTGTTGTGGCCTCTCCTGTTGTGGAGCACAGGCTCCAGACGCGCAGGCTCAGCGGCCATGGCTCACGGGCCCAGCCGCTCTGCGGCATGTGGGATCCTCCTGGACCAGGGCACGAACCCGTGTCCCCTACATCGGCAGGTGGACTCTCAACCACTGTGCCACCAGGGAAGCCCCTCATTGTGGTTTTGATTTGCATTTCCTTGATGACTAATGATGTTGATCATCTTTTTATGTGCTTATTGGTCATGTATATATATTCTTTGCGGGAATGTCTATTCAGATTCTTTGCCAATTTAAAAATTGGTTTATTTGTCTTTTTACTATTGAATTGTAAGAGTTACTTATATATTCTAGATATAAGTCCCTTGTCAGATATATGATTTGCAAAAATTTTCTCTTGACAATGTGATTTTTGACATGTAACTCAGAAAGAATTCAAAGAGTTGAGTAGCACTGATATAACAAGACTCGTTCCACTCACATATATTGGGTTGGCCAAAAAGTTCCTTTGGTTTTTAAGTAAAAATAAAAGACATATTCTTCATTTTCACCAAGAACTTTATTGAACAACATATTCACCCTTTTGTTCCACTACCTTCTGCCATTTTTCAGGCAACTTCACAATCCCATCTTCCCAAAACTTTTTATCTGTTTGAGCAAAGAACTGTTCCAGGTGCTTTTACAGTCTTCCAGGGAATTGAAATTTTTTCCATTAAGAGAATTTTGTAAAGACCGAAATAAATGGAAATCCCAAGGTGCAATGTCTGGTGAATATGGTGGATGAATCACAACTTCCCAGCCAAGCTCTAACAGTTTTTGCCTTGTCATCAAAGAAACGTGCGGTCTTGTGGTATCCTGATGGAAGATTATGCGTTTTCTGTTGACTTATTCGGGATGCTTTTTGTTGAGTGCTTCTTTCAGGTGGTCTAATTGGAAGCAGTACTTGTTGGAATTAATTATTTGGTTTTCCAGAAGGAGCTCATAATAGAGGACTCCCTTCCAATCCCACGATATACACAACATCACCTTCTTTGGATGAAGACTGGCCTTTGGTGGGGTTGGTGGTGGTTCTTTTCACTTGCCCCACGATCTCTTCCGTTCCACATTATTGTACAGTATCTACTTTGCATCACCTGTCACAATTTGTTCTAAAAACGGAACGTTTTCATTACGTCTAAGTAGAGATTTGCTGGCGGAAATAAGGTCAAGGAGGTTTTTTTCGCTTAACTTATGTGGAACCCAAACATCAAAGTGATGAACTTAACCAAGCTGGTGCAAATGATTTTCAACACTTGATTTGGGTATTTTGAGTATGTCGTCTATCTCCTGCATGGTATATTGTTGATTGTTCTCAATTAATGTCTCGGTTTGATTGCCATCAACTTCAACTGGTCTACCTGACTGTGGAGCATCGTCCAGCGAGAAATCTCCAGCATGAAACTTGGCAAACCACTTTTGACATGTTTGATCAGTCACAGCACCTTCTCCATACACTGCACAAATCTTTTTTACCTTTCTTGAAATAATAAAGCATAAATGGCTGAAAATGTTGCTTTCTTTCTTCCATCTTCAATATTAAAATGGCTACACAAAAATTCACCAATTTTGATGTCTTTTTTTAAATGCACGCTGATATGACAGCTGTCACATACAATCTAACAAAATTGTTTTGACTGAAGTTAAAGACAACAAACCATCTTATGGAAAAAACAAACGAATATTTTGGCCAACCCAATATTTATATAAATGAGATTTCTTAGCCCTTATATTTACAAGATAAGATATAGGAACAGAATTCATCCTGAATCCTCTTAATTCTATCAGTAAATCATTATTTATCCTTGGATACAGGGGAATGTAAAAACGTAGCCTTGTTCATCTTGAATAATAATTTTCATTAAACATTTCTAGTTAAAATTTACTTTTTATGTTTAATAATTTTTATATACATTTCTAATGGACTTATGTTGTTTTGACCTATTGTGTACTAACAATTGTAAGGATCAGTTAATGTAGAAGAAACTTTTAAAAATCAGAGATTTATGGCCTTAGTATATTAAGTAAATCGTAGAATTTAAATATATATACATATTTTTTTGTTTGTTTCAGATAGTATTACAGGGAAATCAATAAAAGATCATCAAGCGTGAACTATTTACAACCAATGTTAATATTTACAAGATGCTAGAACTCAGACTTTTTGGAATATTTAAATTTATATACTGAAATTCTTCAAAATTCTTTAAGGTGGAATATGAACAAAGGAGTTTGAGAATCATTTTTCTAGCAGTAGTCTATTTCTTTCCTTCTTTAATCTCCATTAGAATGCCCTTTCCTGAGGGTGGGGAATTGGGGCTAAGCGGTCTTAGATTTCCTGAGAGTTAGCAAGAGTTCCCAACCTGGGTCTCTGATACTTGTATACCTTGCGAAATTGCACGTAAAATTGCACGTAAAATATAAGTGTACATATACATACACTCCCCCACTCCAGTTGATCTGTAATATTCAACTGATTTTTCATAAGGTCTGTGACCTAAAACGTTTAAGAACTACTGTAACTACTACCTTCCTCTCACCTGCCTATTAGTACACCTCATGTATCTCATGCTAGGCCTTTCTCTTGGGTACCAATTAATCACTTGTTGCCTTTACCATACCGCTATCATCGTCTGCCTGCTGGATATCATCTGCAGTTTTGTGTCTTCTCCCAAGGATCACCCGATCCCAGGAATTAGGGCAAGTTCCAGATACCAGTCTTTCCATTATGCTCTAGTGGAACAGAGTTAAACAAATCCTGAATGGCCTTTCTATTCATTTATTTAACGAATACTTAACAACATGCCTCCTGATATGCCAGGTACTATTCTAAAGGCTAGGAATACAACGATGAACAGGCAGACAGGTCTCTCCTCTCCCAGTGCTTCTCTTCTGGAAGAGGAAGACTAAGAACTAAATAAGAAACACACAAGATTATTTTGGGCAGAAGTAAGTACTGTGAAGAAAACAAACCCGGGTGATATGACAACGAGTGTTATGAAGAAGTAGGGTTCGGTTGGAAGGTCAGGACTCTTTAAGGAGCTAACATCGGAGCTGAAGCCTGAGTGGTGAGAAGAAAGTAGCCGAGAGGTGAACATAGTTGGTGCAAAGGCCACCAGGAGGAAGGAGGTTGGTGTTTCTGGGGAATTTCCAAGCCAGAGCTTGGAAAGTACTGAGCAGAAGAGGTGAGGTTGGAGAGGCGTTTCATCCCGAGTGCAACAGTAAGCCAACGATGTGTTTTAAGCAGAGGAGGAACTGAGCTGGTTTATATTTTAAAACAAAATCCTTCTGGCTACTTTGATAAAAATGGATTGTATGGGTTCAAGAGAAGAAATAGAGAAAGCAGTTAGGCTACCATGGTAGTAGAGGCCAGAGATTATGGTGACTTGGACTGGGGTGGAGATGGTATAAATGGGAAAATTCAAGATATACTTTGGAGGTGGAGCTGATAGGACTTCTAAATGGTCTGGATAGAATTGTGAAGGAAAAGAGAAGAGTCAAGGATGACTCCTAGGAAGTTAGTTTTGAACAAGTGGGTGAATGATGCAGTAGATTTAAAGATACTATTTGGGAATGTTTGGAACACCTACTAAACAGTTAAGTGACAGAGTGGAGTAGCTTTAGATACATGAGCCTGGAGTTAGAAATGTGGTCAGGGTAGGGATTATTATGGGAGTCAGGAGCTTACGGATGGTATTTAAAACCACTGTGGCAGGCTGAATAATGTCCCCCTGAATATGTCCATGTCCTAATTCCTGGAATCTTAAAGAACCTACTGTGTATGAAAGCACTTAAAATCTGTCACTTGTAAGCCTCACAACAACCCAAGGTAGGTGTTATTATCCTCCACTTGGCAGATGGGGAACTGGAGGCTCAGAGAAGTGGAAAGCCCTGTTTTGCACTGTGCTTTGAGACAGGTCCAGCTTACCTACCGCCTCGGCTGCCCAAAAACCTGCCTTATAAAATGCATTTCTACGCGGCCTGTCCCATTCTTTGTCTAGCTCTGGCATATTATTTTTCTCACCTTCAGAGCCCTTGCCAGCCCAATTACACCACAGAGACCATGACCACTCCTCAGCTAGCTTGTTAACTGTGGAAGGGCTTAGTGGGATTATCACATAACCAACTACTCCGCATGCCAGGCCCTTTGCCAGGCACCTAACATGCATTCACAAATCACAGATTACTCTATCCATCGTCTCTGGAGCAATCTAGAAAGGAAGGATTACTGGGGAATGGGAAGAAGTCAGGAGCAGGGGCGCCTGAGTTCAAGTCTGGGGGTGCTATAGCCCTGACTTGAAGCTAAAGTAATCCTGGTCTAGTAACTTAACCATCTAAGAAAACGAGGAGGTTAACACTACAGATCATCTCTAACCTCTATCAAGGATGCTTGCATGACAGCTTTTCTTCTTTTCCCACTCCTGGAGCTCCACTATTATGTGCAGTGGCAGGGCCGTAGCGACTGTCTGCTCCGCGATGGCTGCCCTTCAGTTCCCTGCCTTAGAGGCCAGACCCAGCCGTGACTCGGCCAATCGCCCGGGAGGCCGCGGAGCCCCTCAGGCCAGGAGCGTTGATAAGTGGGCGATAGGTCATTTCAGGACAAGGAAGCGAAGGCTCTGAAAAACTACAACTCCCAGAAGCCCGTGGGGGTGCCAATCGGAGGCCTGTGGCTGGTGCGTCTTGGGAGCTGTAAGCCACGCTTCATTGCAAGGCCGCGCCCGACAGGTAACTGGGGCGCATGCCCAATCACGTCCCCACTAGCTCAGCTTTTTTCCTTCCTGCGGGATACTTCTCTTTCCGGCCTCGCCCAGGCGCGCTTTTCCCCGCCCCACCTCCGCCCCCTTTTCAGGGATTTCGGAGTGGGCGGGGCCACTGGCAAGCGCGTTCCCAGGAATGTGTACGCGCGCGTTCACGGGAGATTAAAGAGGGAGGGGACTAAATACTGGGTGTGGAAGGTGGCGAGGAGGCCGCGGATCACGGAAGGCGCATGCGTTCTAGAGGCGGTGCCGCGCGGCTTCGGGAATGGCGGAGGGGCGGGGTGGAAATGGGCTCGTGGCCTGACGCATGCGCATTGGGCCGCCAGCGCCCCGCCTCCTTCTTCAGTTTCCCCTCCTCCTCCCCCACCCTTCCGGAAGTGCAGCCGCCCTGGCGCCCACCAGCGGCCACCCCCTGCGGCAGGCTCCGCCCCCGCCGGCCCCGCCCCCACGGCTCTCCGCCCCCTCCTCGGGTGGTGGTGCCGGGTTGCAGCGCCGGTTGTGGAGGTTTCGGTGCCCGAAGCCGGGAGCGCGGAGTCGTTCCCGGGAGCGCCGGCCAGGCTATGATCGCGGGTCCCCGGCGGCCCGCTTCGGCCAACCAGAGTCCCTGTCTCAGCTTGTGCCCGTGCCCGAGCGGTCTCCTCAGCTCGACCCCGCGGCGCTGTTGGCGGCGGCGCCCGCAGTGCGCCCCCTCCTCCGATGGCGGCAGAGATCCAGCCCAAGCCGCTGACCCGCAAGCCGATCCTGCTGCAGCGGGTCGAGGGGTCTCAGGAGGTGGTGAATATGGCCGTGATCGTGCCCAAGGAGGAGGGCGTCATCAGTGTCTCGGAGGACAGGTACGAACCGCTGCCCCTCGGCCGCGAGGAGGGGCGGGACGCGCCGGCGGTCCCAGAGCCCGCTTCAGGGGCTGTGCCTCCACGTCGGCGCGAGTGTAGAGCGCTCTCTCAAGTTGTTATTATAATGCGCATCCTGGTGCTGCCGGTGTCCAGCTGCGCGTGGCCGCCGCTGCGTGGCTCCGGAAAGCGGAGCCCGGACAGCGGCGTTCTGTCTGGCCTTGCCCGGGTGGCGCCTGCCGGGGCCAGGGTGGCCCTTGGACTAACGGTGCACCGGCCGCTGGACCTTGGTCCAGCTCCTAGGACAGGAAGGGGAGAGGGTGGAGCTGCCCGGCCCTGCAGGTGTGTGCGTGGGGAGGATGCTCCAAGCCGCTTGTGTGACATAACTAAGAGGTTTTGAGAACTCTGGTATAGTTCTTAAGGCTCCAGATCCAGGAAAGCAAATGCCACTCCCTTCTCCCAGACATTCCCACCGAATCCAGATCTCCCAGACATCTTACACTGAATTCAATGAATATTGCAAGTTGTGAAGAGTATTAGGGCTTCTGCCCAGGAGAGGTGACTTCTCTGCTTTGCCCTCCTTGTCTCTTCAAGCTCAAGGGGAAGCTCCTAGAACTTTCAAGGGACCACTGCTGCAAATAGCTCTTGAGTTCCTTCCCTTTGCTTGCTTCCTTTCTTTTTGCCTAATTTTGCTTAATTTGCCGAAGTAGAACTAGTTGTTCTGCCTTTAGCATTCTCCCTTGTTTTTCAGACAGTGCGTTTTTTGCTTTAACTTAATGACCTTTAATGCAGAAATTATGCAGATGAAGCTAGTTTCCAGAGGAATGAAGCTTGAATATAGTAGTTATGGTTTTGATCTGGAATTGTTGCTTTTATAATATCAACTAGTATTCTAAAAAATGTCACATTATAGAGGTATATGTCAAGGAGCTTTTAACCTTAAAATAGGAGTTACGTTTTCTAAATGTAAGTTCAAATTATGCTGAGGTAGAAAATATTTTTTTCTTGGTGACTTGTAAAATTTCCAGGCAAAGGTAAAGCAACAAAGTGTTCATACTGTCTTTATAGACATTTCAGTGCTTTGCATACAGTGTGGCTTCAAAAAAAATGCCTGATAGGTTTATTCGTATCATAGATTCTTCAGTATAACTAGGATGACTATATTAATGACATTTTTGTCTACATCATACTCCATACAAATGGCCAAATGGTGCCTGATTCACTTCCTGTGCAGATTCAAGGGAAAACATTGTAAACATACACCAATGGCAAGCAGTCTGCCAAGAACAGAAGAAATTCATGGCTGCAGTGGAATACATGGATGTAGAAACCATTTGAAATTCACGAAGAAGGCTTATGAGTGTTTAACTTTTCCATGGAGGCAAAATTCTACAAAAGAGATTGCTTCTGGACTTAGAAATTCTTTGTCACAGAATCGTGTTTTAAAAAGAATATATTGATAGACATCACTTTCTCTGTAACTACTGGAGATGAAACTGCTCAACCGAACTGCGGTAGGAAATTCATAAGTAAGTTTGTTGAATCAAGTAAGAGAGGCAGAAAGGTAGCTAAACCTAAGCTCCTTTAATAATTAGTTTTGAAACTTTTTGCTTTGGTTGATGCTTTGGGAGTAGAGGTTAGTTTTCATAGGTTTTTTTTTTTTTTTTTTTTCCTAAGTGTTCAAAGGGATCTTAGAGGTTATTTGCTGTAACAGCTTCATTTTACAGATGAGAAAATTAGGCCAGAGAATTTACCTGCCCAAATTCATGTAACTATTGGCGGAGCCTGGCCTGGCTCCTGTCTTCTGATTTCCATTTCACTGTGTTTATCCTGAAGGAAACAGCTTTAGTCGGGGTGCATTTCAGAGTATTTGGAGAAGCTGAAGTCACGTATATGACAGAGAGTGAAGATAAGTTTCATTTGATTATGGGACAACATAAATGCAATAATGTTTAGCTATTTATTAAGCTTAATTTTCACTTTCCCAGTTTACAGTGTAAGTAATAGAAGATATTTTATTATGCAGTTGCTGTTAAATAAGTAAGGCTAGGATTTATTCTTTACATATCTTTTTATTATTACTCAAGTTGACCAGTCTATGTTTCTGTAGGTCATATAGTCACATGTGACAAGAACTTTGTTATTTAGAGCTCAGTTTCGATTATGGTTTCCATTAAAAGAGAACTGGTCTGTATTCTTGCTTTTCAAAATCCAGTGTCACTGTCAGTTGACATAATTATCATTATCAAGATATGAAGAGAGAATATTGATTTTCATCAAAACCTACCAAGCCATTTCCATCAACCACTTCAGTTAGAAACTAGTAGTTTTCATTCCTGAACTGTAAGGTTAAGCCACAAAATATTGTCCCATTCCTGAATGGCAGCGTCCCGTAAGTTCTTTTGAAACCTTGGTTTTCCTTTTTGACCTCTGATTCCCAATAGCCTTTGAAAACGCTTAACATTTTCCATCTATAACAGTGTTATAGGTACTTGTTATCCATTTATCTTCTTCTCCATGAATTCCCTAAGATGCTATGTGCGTCTCACTCATTGTAATATCTGTAAGGCCTAGTATGGTGGCTGGCACACAGTAGGCCCTCAAGAAACATTTGTTGTGTTGGTGACTGGGCTTTTTCTTGTTCCTGAAAGCACAGCATCTTAACTGTTGTAGACATTTCATTGATATTTGTTTGAATGAACTTAATGACAACCTGTGAAAGTTCTGTTGGACAAATGTACGGAAAAGGATTGGACTGGATGGCCTTAAAAGTGCCTTAAAAATTTGAAAGTCAATGCATTGCTTCATTCATTCTATCAACAAACATTTGAGTCCCTCCTGTGTTCTAAGCACATGTGTACACTTCATTGGTGAAAATGACAAGGTCCTTTCAAGATACTCACAATTTATTTGGGGGGGGGCAGATTTTAGAAGAAAATAAAACCACAAACTCTAAGATTTAATATTGAAAAGAGAATTTTTAGATGGGGAAGAGTAGCTGGATTCCACAGCCATTGTTGTTCCCAAAATTTTACTTACCTTTGGAGGATTCTTTCACTTGGACTACCATTTTCACCCTATGGCTGCCATTAGTCGTGGGCTGGTGATATTCTAATCTTCAGGCCCCAAGAGTGGTAAAAACCCTTACCCTCAGTTCAGCTGAGCACAGTTAAGACAGCCTGGACCTTTACTGGATACCAAGGGAGAAAGTATAAGGAAATAGAAGAAATATAAAAACGGGAGTTCCCTGGTGGTCTAGTGGTTAGTGGTTAGGACTCAGCACTTTCACTGCCATGGCCTGGGTTCAGTCCCTGGTTGGGGAACTCCTGTAAGCCTCACCTCACAGCCAAAAAAAAGAAAAGGAAGAAGAAATATAAAAAGTCTGACTTACAAGTATAGATTTGTGGTGCTATCATAAAATGGAATTTGTTCTCAGAACTCACTGTCCTTATCTGAGTCTGTCTTTGCTTTGGTTGTAGCTGGATTCTGTCTCCAAAGGATATGCCCAACTTTGGTACATTGGGTTCCTCATTTCCCAGCTTCTGTCTGGACTGTCTCTTCTGAGTGACTGCCATTTTTTTTTTTTTTTTGTGGTACACGGGCCTCTCTCAACGGGCCTCTCCCGTTGCGGAGCACAGGCTCCGGACGCGCAGGCTCAGCAGCCATGGCTCACGGGCCCAGCTGCTCCGCGGCATGTGGGATCTTCCCAGACCGGGGCACAAACCCGTGTCCCCTGCATCGGCAGGCGGACTCTCAACCACTGCACCACCAGGGAAGCCCGTGACTGCCATTTTAACATTCCTTGCTTAGGAGTTTCCTCACAGACATCTTGGGTCTATTTTGGTCAATACCGATCTCTAGCCTGCAGCTTACCAGGGTAGCTGGTAAGCCACCTGCAGCTCCCTTGTCCAGTGGCAGCCTCTTCAAGTGTTGAAAACCAGAAGAGACTGCTCCAGGTGGGAGCCAGCCCTGTCCAGACGTTTTAACTTTGTAAATTATTTATATGCATATCTTAACACAAGTCAGCAATCTTAGAATTCATACAGAGTTTCTCTAGGTAATTACTATTAGACAGTTATAGAAAATTGTTCCTTCACCAGGAGTAAAAAGGGGTCAGATTTTTA